TCTTATTTACTATATATGAATCAATTTTGAGTCTTGACTCTTAACCTATGCTAGTAAGAGTCTTGACCTATGTTGATAATATTGTTTGTTAAATTCGAATTTTGCATTTGAAAGTTGGAATATTGTTTGCATTGTTATTTGGGATATTGCTTGCTAAATTGGCTAAGTATCTTATTTTTGTTTTTATTGACTTTTCTTCGTATTTTTTTTTTTTTTTAATTTGACGATTGGAGTTCGGACTTATAAAAAATAATTTATTTTTGTAGTTATTAACCAAATCGAATCGAATCGAACCAAGATACGAATCGAACCGAACCGACTTACGTGGGTATGGTGTGGTTATGATATAACAAAAAATTTGATGGTGCAGTTATGATTTTAGCCGAACCGACCCCGAACCGAAGAGTTGCCATCCCTATGGAAAAGCTCTCCCAATCAACAATTGCATTTAGAATGATTGGCCTTCTGGGCACAGAATCCCGAACATGTCCCCCTCTTCTTTGTTTACCATTGTAAAAGGAAATTGTATCATCCCAAACATTCATTTGTTTTGATTTCACAAACTTAAACCTCAGCCTAACCTGCAGATAAAGCTTCACTTCAATTTCATAAATCCCAGAAGTCTCTCTCTGTTAAAGTTCGAAATCTCATCGTTTTCGAGTAAAACCAAGTTCTATCATTTGAATTGCTCAAAGAATCAGTGATTGCAAATCTTTACCTTCCATAAAAAGCCATAACTTTGATTCGATTATAATAAATACTAATGTGCTTGTTAGGTTTTCGAATTGTCAAGGAATGTCAATATTTGCTTTGAGTAAATGCAATTGATCTACCAACAAGCTTCAACTTCTCCAAAAGAATAAATTTCAGAATTTTGTTGACTGTATTTTGACTTCATTTGTTCATTGTGGCTCGAAATCAAAGATTCAGGGAGAAATTGCAGTGATTTTGATGAGATTTTGGAAATCGGGTGTGTATAGAGACAAAATACATTGTTTTATTGTGGGAGGAGGCGTGATAAATATCTTTTAAATGTATGGAATAACTCCTATTTTGTAGGATCTTATTTGAAACTACATTTTATTCTATATATTATTTTCTTGTTTTTAGCACCAGATATTTGAAACTATTTTATAATCTAATCATTATGTATTTTGCCCTTTTTCAAATCTGCATACTTTATCATCAAAACCTTCTACAGCATATCCCTCGAGTTAGTCCATATAAAATCTCTTCTTTTAAGTCTCCATTTAAGAATGCAATTTTAACATCCATTTAATGTATAATAAAATTATGTAATGAATCAATCACGATAAACATCATAACAGATGCAATCCAAGTTACAAGTATCGAAATAGTGAACTCCTCTTTGCCTATAGCAGCTTCAAACTTATCGATTGAACCATCATGTTTAAGTTTTTTATTTAAACAACCATACACACAATGGTCTTACATCCTTTAGGTAAGTCTACTAAGTGCAGAACATACAGACTTTGCTCACTTTAGGCGAGGGATGAAAAGGATATTCAGATTGAGAGGATTGGAATGGGTGAATTTATAGAGAATGGATAGTATCCAAGTTGGCAATTCAATGATCAGGGTAAAGTTATGAAATCTAATCCAAAAATTGGAGATGCGAGATGCTCTAATGAGAATGAATTATGATCCATATTTATGTGAAGGGATATTTGAAAACCAAACAAGCACTCAAAAGCACAGTAGAACAAGCAATAACCTTCACAAACATGATGTCAAAAGGAGTAATTCAAGTACAAAGATCTAAGAATATTACAGAAAGTAAACCGCAAAGGAATGGATCAGATTTCTGGCTTTAATTCTCCAAAAAAAGAATTTATAATAGCACAGTATAATCAACTTCGATCATGTGGGGAAATAATCATCATATCCATAAAAAAATCATGCTCTTTAGAAATACAGATTACAACACTCAAAAAAATTAATTATAATTCAATAGCTAGTAATTTCAACATTTTTAATGAAGATTGGTTACGAAATGAGATGGATCAGAAAATCTGGCTTAATTTTCTCCAAGAGGAGAAAACAAAAGAGCGCTCAGTAATTTCAGCTTCGAATCATCTGGGGAAAAAATCATCACTTCCATCTCTCTAACTGATGAAAAAGTAAACATTTATTTTTAAATAAAAATTGAATTTCACCGTTCCGATTGAAATACAAAGCTCCATAGAACAAGATCTCTGTTTAAAAATCAGATCTGTAAGTGAATATAGCGTCGGCTCATACGCAGCGCCCACTAATCAATAGCGCCGGTAATCAGTAATCGGCGCGTCACATAAAATCATAAATTCATACAATGCATTAATTAAAAATAAATAAAACCCGAAATAAAAGAGAAGAAAGGGATTGGAAGGCCGAAGATCTGTTGGAATGGCAATTTGGGGGCGGAGGCTTGCTTATTTATATACAGCAGCTGTAGAAGAGGTTGAGGTGGCTGCGCAAGGGTACAGAGAAACCCTAATTTCAGAAAGAGGAACTATCGACGTCACGTGTTCGGTGCTCCTCTCGCATGCTTTAGCTCTAGCTCTTTTGCCGAAAATTGCAAAAGAAGGACCCAATCTAATTAATGTTGTATTTGAACTCTCGGAGTTTATTTCTTGACATTTCAACTTCTAACTTCAAGTTTGTAGCAATTGACTACCTAATGAACAATTTCTTACATTTAATTATTAATTAATCATATTTTGATTGGAAAGACAATAGTTACAGCCAGCGCAGACCTATATTCCGATTTTTCGATAGATAACATTCGAATTATATAAATATATGTAGAGGTCTGCATTGATCGAATTGGTTTGAAAACCGAACCTCACAATTTGATTTGAATAATTTTCATATAAATAGGCTCATGTTTGGTCTTCATTTCTTAAAATTCATTTTTTTTCAAACCCGTTTCAACTACACATTTTATGGACCCATAAATTTAATTAATTTTTCAACCACATTTCATCAATTTTTATCAAAAATTTAATATTTTTTCAAAACCAAACAGGCACTAGGCGTAAAACCAAATCAAACCAAACAGATGAATTTTGTATTAATTTGGCTTAGGTTGTTTAGCTTGGGCTTGGGCCCAATACAAATTGAACCATTTAAACCGCATAAAAAATAAAAATAATTATATATTTAATTTTAATGCATATATTAAAAAGTTGAAATATTTCGGACCTTAAAATGATTGGTAAGCCTTCCAAACATAAAAGGTCAAAAAAAAAAAATCATAAAATAACACAATAATGAAGGAGGTAAGGGTTAATTTGCAAAAAATATATATATATATATTTAATTTATAATTATAATTAAGCTTTTCTTCTCGATTTGTATTGGTTTGGATTGAGTTTCATCGATAAAATCGCATACTGACCTAACCCGACTCAATTCCTCTAAAGAGAAACTGAAATGAATCAAAATTTTACAAAAAAAAAAAAAATTGATCCAATCCGACCTGTTTCGATTCGAATGGGTCCTTTTTGCGTGTTAAATACCCATCCCTACATATCTAAGCAAATTTTACTTAATGGGTTCAGTGTTGGGCTGTTGAATCTGCTACACTTTTGTTGCAAATAAATTTCAAAACTTCAAATTCCTAAAGTCCAGTTAACATAAAATAATCCAAATTATAAATTTATTGTACTGTGAAATCAGTATTGCGGAAATTTCACTTTAGTCTCTTGAAAAACGTAAAATTTCAAATTGGTGCCAAATTGTCAAAAATTGCAACATCAAATTTTACACCAAATGAATTATGTTTCCTATATTTCCTAATTATTTATTTCTCAAATCAATTTATTTTAAATTATTTAATTATAAATTATATTATTACTAAAATCTTTAAATTAAAAATTATATTTATGAATTAAAATATTGCATTTATTAATAAATAAATAAATAAATAAATAAAATTATTGTTTTAGTTTATTGTTGTATTGTACTTTAATTTATGGTTTTAAGATATTTATGTTGTTTTAGTGTTAATTTAACTAATTATCAAATTTGTAAATTTTGAATTTTAATGAACAATTTTAATTTATTATATCAATACTTATTACTTTATTAGAATTTTAAAATAAATGTTAAACAAAAATAACGATCACATTAAAATAATTATAAATAAATTCAAATCAATTAAGTCTAAAATGATTAAAAAAAAAAAAAGATATAGAAGGAACAAAAATTTGGTGTGCTATTGGAGGGGCATTTTACTCCAAAATATTACATCAAATTTGATACACCATTGGAGATGGTCTAAGTCTTCCAAATCTTGAATAAACACTTCCAACTTTCTATTTGTCAATAAATACTAGAATGTGCAACTTTCTATAATTTGCAATTTGGTCTCTGAACTTTTGATAAATTGCAAACTAAGTCCAAATACCTTTCCGCCATTAAACCCCTTCTAATTATAGCTTGGCCTTATAACATTGTAAGTGCAATTTCATAAATAAATAATTAGTATGAAATATCGAAGTATGTCCAACTTTGAACTTTTGTGTTGATATTTCTCATTTTATATACGTAAAAATAAAAAGAGAAGTGAATGATCTGATGGGTTGGGAGGTGTACCAATCCGACGACTGCATGAGCCAAGCTCCTAGGGACTAAACTTATAAATAGATCAATCATCGTCTCTAAATTTGAGAGTCTCACTGCAACCTGCCAACAGGTGGCTCTTAGGTTAGGGTTAATAATATTCAATTGAAACTTGTCCAAACGAGATATAAGCTCCAATAAATAATTAAACTAAAATTAAAATCGTTTCTTTGTTACTTTCAAACTTCTTGAAATATCAAGATCTATGTTCTTGTTTTCAGTTTAACCTATCTTGTTATCATGATACCTGACAACGATAGAAAATCAAGCATATAATACATCTAACTATAAAATACACAATTCCATTTTCTCAATTTCAGACTGACCAAGTCAATTAGTTGAAAAAGCAAATTAATCTATGGTATAGAGTTTTGAGTATTCAATATTTTTGGTCACATTAAAAAAATTAAGTACATGTAACCATTGTTCCCATCTCTTTAACCTGTGAACTGCAACTGTATCTGGTATAAGCTGGTGTGAGCACCTTCCATTAGTTCCAGGATAGTCATACATTGCTGGCTTGTTAGAAAACCTATTTTTGGCCTTGTTCCCTGCATTCAGCCATTGCCCAACCATCTTGTCTTCCGGTCCAAACGTATGATTCTTAGGAATTTCAGAATTCCCAATCCATTCAACGAGATCCCAGGATAACACGAAACCCATTCCCGACATGTAATTCACAAAGGGGTTCATGCTAGGACATGGAATCACAAAACCATAGTACAAATCAAATCTTGGTAATGGCTGCAGAGACAATGCCAATGGCTCAAGTCTTATGAATACATCATCATCAGCCTTCATTACATAGTCATATTGTCGGGATAGGATCCGAGGGAGAGTCGAGAAATACGTGTACGTTTTGCCACTATTCATGTTTTCTGAACAATTAAGAATGATTATATCGTTAAACCGCATGATCTCGAGGGCTACGAAGACTCTTTGTTCCGGTTTTGTGAGATTGCAGAAAACAAACTTGACGTCAATTCTGGCTATGGGGGAGGATTGAATTCCGTAGATGAGGCGGAGGAAGTGGCGACGGTCGTAGTTGTCGGGGCGTGTGAGGATTCCGATCAGAAGGCTGAATTTTTGTTGTGGAGAAGATGTCTTGTGGAGTGTGATGCTAGTGTATGTAGGAGGTAAAAGAAGGGACTTGAAGTGGATGCTGAAGAGGATGAAAAACAGAAAGAGGAGAATAGCAAATGCAGATAATGTAGCTAAAGCTATTCTCAGTTTCAGCATTTCTATGTAATATTTCTGTTTCTATTAAATGCAGTAGGGTCTGACGACTATGAAAAATGTTTAGTATGTAATATTGGACTAGATTTTAACTTTTTTTTTTCTTTATTTGATACGGTTAATCTACGTTACTAAACAAACTGTGATTTTTTGTTTAATGGAACTGAAATGAAAGGAGGCACCTGAAATTTATTCATGCCATGCTTTAGAATGCGAAAAAAGTAAAGAAATTGGCTAAATCACGCTGGATAAACACGCAGAAAACAGGCCGAAAAGGTAATAAAAATGTGACATCCTTGAAAATTCTGTTTAGCGTTTTTATTTTCATTTATTCAGCAAGTTTTGATATAAATGTTAGAAGTTAGACCTCAACAAACGTAACATACTTGGCT